GCTCAGGTGATCCTTCTGCCTCAGCCTTCTGAGCAGCTAGAACTACAGGTGTGTGCTACCATGCCCGGCTTAGGGTTTTTTTAATTGTAGAGATGAGGTCTTACCAAGTTGCCCAGTCTGGTTTTGAACCCCTGAGCTAAGGCATTACTCTCGCTTCAGCCTCCCAACGTGCTGGGATTGCAGGCTTGAGTCACCGCACTCAGCGGAAAAAACGTGTTTTTAATCAACATGACAATGAATGAAAAAAATCCTAAAGAAGCCCAGCTAGGTGGCTCAGCCTGTAATCCCGCCCTTTGGGAGGCTGAGGTTAGTGGATTGCCTGAGCCTGGGGGTTTGCGGCCCACCTGGGCAACTTGGTGAGACCTCATCTCTACAATAAATTTAAAAAAAATCAGCCGGGCATGGTAGCATTTGCCTGTAGTTCCAGCTACTCGGAAGGCTGAGGCGGAAGGATCACTGGAGCCCAGCAGGTCGAGGCTGCAGTGGCCGGGAGCGGCCACTGCACTCCAGTCTGGGCGACAGAGTGAGACTCCAACTCAAAAAACAAACAAACAAAATTCCTAAAGAATCTACTACTAGAACTAATAAATGAGTTTGGCAAGGTGATAGGCTACAAAATCAATAAAAAATCAATTGTATTTCTATATACCAGAGAAAAACAATTGGCCATTGAAATTTTATACTACCATTTATAATAGCATCAAAAATCATTACGTACTTAGGGTTAAATTTTAAAAATAAGTAAAATTTATATAATAAAAACTATAAAACACTGCTGAAATGAATCTCCCCCAAAAGAAAACTGTGTTCATGAATCAGAAGATTCTATAATGTTAAATGTCAGTTTTCCCAAAATTGATTTATAAGTTCAATGCAATTAATTAAAACACCAAAATAAACTAAAAATTTTCAAGCTATTTCTAATATTAATAGAGAAATTAGTAAGACCTATGATAGGGAAAAAAATTGCAACAGAACCAAGGTGGAGAACTTCAACTACTTTCAAGTTATAGACCTACAGTAATCATGATAGTGTCATATTTTGACCTAAACAACAGAATAAGACTCATACTTAATCTACTGATTTTTGGCAAACCGCAAAGTAACTCAATAGAAAAAAGATGGTAGTCTTTTCAACAGACAATCCTTGAATAATCAG